TCTCTCTCTCTCTCTCTCTCTCTCTCTCTCTCTCTCTCACGACTTTGGGGCCGTAAAAAAAAGAACGTGCTACGGGATGACAAATACACACACGCGGCACAATAGCTGCTGTGGATGTCAGACGAGTCACGTGTTTATTTGCGCAACCACAACGTAAACGGCCAAACACCCACTAGTCCCGCCGGCACTGACTTTGCTAGTCAACAGTCTGTGAGCAGGAACAGTCCGGGTATAGACGGGGGCTTGGGGCAGCCGAAGCCCTATTGTAAACCTTCGTGAACATATAGCTATCCACGGTGGGCGGAGGGGGTCCTACGGAAGAACTGTCTCCTTAAGACGAAAAAACGCAAGCCCCCCCCTCCCCCTAACTTTAGCCTCGTAGAATACATAAACCGATTGTTTGAAAAGCAGAGGGATCTGAAGGAGTCAGGCAACCTTATACTTTCCACAATCAACCGTAAACAGCAAATGAAACGTATTCAAAGGCCATTTTAAAAAAACCTACTATTTAGCGGAGTCGGTAATTTGAAATTCTCGCCGACGATCGTAGCACTCCTTGATGCCCGGATCGCTCCACAGCGACTTGATGGCCACAACGTGTGAGGGATCGAGGGTTGTAACGCTCTCATAGTCGATTTCTCGTGCCATTTCAGCGTGATCCTGTAGCAAAAGATAGAGGAATCAAATTTAGAAAAGGAAAAAAAGAGGTGAGTTGTGTATGGAGTTGCAGCAGCAAAAAAGATAAGTATCCTTTACAGGAGGGAAACAATCAGACCAACACCTCCCCGTCAAACAGTACTTCCGCTCACACACCCATGCCCGACAGTTCAACCGTCGATCTGGACGATGTTCACCGTGTGCCACAGCATGCTGAAGGCAAATGCCCCGAATTGCCCAGCATTTAACGCAATCTTCCTTCCCTCGTCCGCCTGTGCCCGGTGTCAAGACACAGAGCAGAGGCGGAATCGGGGGCGGATGCAGACGCTGCGTGGCAAGACACAACCAAAAGACCCCCCAACAAAGTGGGAGGCTGATCGGATTCCGCGTGCCATAGAGATCACAGTAAGGAGGCATTGCAGCTTGCCTTTGTAGTCCACCACACCACACAATGCACACTGGTCTAGTCGCGCGGTCAAAGTTGCCCGTCAGATGGAAACCTT